ATACCTGGTACAGCAGTTGTGTCTCAGATCCCAGCTCCACCCCAAGTGCATATGCCTTCACTGCTATTTTTACCTCTGTAGTTCAAGACCCCTGCACCCAAGTTAAGCGACCTAGGCTCTGTGACTCACTGCTACAGGGGATTTTTTGCAGTGTAGATGTACCATAAGTGTCTTTGGACCAGCTTTTCAAAGGTACGTAGGTGCTTGCAGATGCAAATTGGTACCTAGTGAAGGTGTGTCTAGACTACAGGGTTTTGTTGACAAAAGTTGGCTTTTGTCGACAAAATTATACCTGCGTCTACACTACCGCTGCGCTCTGTCAACAGTAAGTCGACAGAATGCAGCAGTTTTGTCGACAGCAGTAAACCTCATTTTACAAGGAATAATGCCTTTTTTTGAATGTACTCTTTCGAAAAAAGGCGCTAATGCATGGAAACTGTGCTTTTACGAAAGAGAGCTTCTAGACTCTCTTTTGAAAAAGCAGATTGCTTTTTTACAATACTGATCATAGTCTAGATGCTCTTTTTCGACAGAGGCTTTGTCGACACTATCTGTTGACAAAGCCTCTGTTGAAAAAGGCGTGCAGTCTAGACATAGCCTGGGATTTTTAAAAGTGCCTGAGCGGATTTGACATGTAACTCCCTGTGAAATCAATGGAACTTGGGTGCATAACCTGCTCAGGCTATTTGAAATTCCCAGTGGGCACCTGTCCATGTCTTAAGACACCTAACTATTTTAGAAAATCTGGCCCTTAAACACTTCACAGAATGGGACTTGACACTCTATATTAGAGAAAAAGTATGTTAGTCATGCTTTGAAAATATTGCCAATACTATCTTATGAGCAAATATTTCAATGAAACATAGAACATTCTATTACCAGATTACTGGAGTGAAAGTGACCAGGATGATATTGATGGCTCTCTAACCCTGAAACAAGAAGGCCCATCAACACTGTGTGATATCTACCACCGAACACTCTCAGTAAGTCATGAATATTATATGCTCTATATGCTCAGGAACTCCTTGCCAGAGAATGTAGTGAAGACTAGGACTTTAACAGGGTTCAAAAAAGAGCTAGATAGAGTCATAGAGATTAGGTCCATCAATGGCTATTGGCTAGGATGGTAGGAATGGTGTCTGTAGCCTGTTTGTCTGGAAATGGGTGACAGGGAGGGATCACATGAGGATTACCTGTTGTGTTCTCTCCCTCTGGGGCATCTGGTATTGGTGGTCACTGTCAGCAGACAGGATACTGAGCTAGACTGACAGTTGGTCTGACCCAGTATGGTCGTTCTTATGTTCCATAAGGTCAAGAAATACATTTCCATGCTGCTTTGATTGGTATTTTGTTTGTTTCATTCCAGCATCTAACAACATTAGGGCTGTGTCTAGACTGCATCCCTTTTCTGTAAAAGGAATGCAAATTATACACATCTCAATTGCAAATGAAGCGGGGATTTAAATCCCCCCCACTTCATTTTGCCTTTTTTTTCCGGCTCAGAGCTTTGCCGGAAAAAAGCGCCAGCCTAGACGCGGATCTTTCGGAAAATAAAGCCTTTTCCAAAAGATCCCTTATTCCTCTTAAAATAAGTATAAGGGATCTTTCGGAAAAGACTTTATTTTCCGAAAGATCCGTGTCTAGACTGGCGCTTTTTTCCAGCAAAGCTCCGAGCCGGAAAAAGCGGCAGCCATGTTAATGCAAATGAAGCGGGGGGGATTTAAATCCCCGCTTCATTTGCAATTGCGATGATGTGTCTAATTTGCATCCCTTTTCCGTAAAAGGGATGCAGTCTAGACACAGCCTAGGAGTAGAACGGAGGTGATTCTCAGCTGTAAACTATGAGAATGTTATCATTTCTATGGTTAAGAGCAGGACTGAATGTTCTGAAAATAAAAAATGGATGCTCAAAGGAAGAAAAAGCTACTGCCATCTTACTCTGCTGTGTTTAGTGTCGTCAAGCCATGTTTTTTTCTTGTTTAAAAAAATTCAGTACAAAAGGAAGACATATATTATACCTGGGTCATCTCTATTAACTGGGAGTTTATACTATGTCTACAGTGTTTGATATTTACTGGAAATTAAGATTTTTAGATTGTATTCAGACAATAGCTATTATCCAGAAGAAAAATATTTTATATATAAGAAACATATGTTTAAATACAAGCTTCTTTCAAAATATATCATTGTGTAAAATACATTTGTAGTATTTGTGTTAAGAAGCGTTTTCAAATAGAAAAATAGCTGATAACAGTTGTGTACAGTGTATGGGCAGGCGCTGATAGCTGATAAAAGCATTGCTGCTATACAGTACATGGGTAGGCTGTGATATCTGACCTTTGTTTCTAAGTGCAGATAGGACTGTTCTCTATTTTTCTTTCAGATTTATCTTCAGCGTGAATGACACGATCCTCACACAACCAGAACCAAAGAAAGAGTGACTGAGGCAACAGCATCACATGGGTGAAGTTCAGACTGATTTTCACCCATGTGATGCTGTTTTATCAACCGGGATACAGGTTAAGCCCCTCCCTTTCTGTTTTTCCACTTTTTTGCCTTTCTCTTTTTTTAAATTAAAAGAATACAAAAACCAAGCAGAATTTAATTTAAAATAATTTGAATAAGTTCAGCAGTCCCCAAAAATTTAAATGTCATCTTGGATGCTGACATGTCTTTTTTTTTCCTGTTTGGTTGGAATATCTGCCCTCTGAAAAGAAAGGAAAACCACTCCTGGTTTCCTTTGGGGGCGTCTATGTCTTCCTCACAACACACTGCCGAAATGTGTGTAAGCTGGGTACATCTTTGCAAAACCTATACCAGTGCTACCCTGTCCTTTCCAGCAGGAGTTGCTCTTGGGCAGAGAATGTGTCAAAACAAGAATAGGGAGTGGTTAAAAATGTAGTGCTTACATTAAAGTATTACATAAAGTTAGCTATGTTGTGCTTACTAATCATATACTGAACTCTATCTCTTACTGTTTGCCAATGTATAGTCACAATTATGTCTTTATAATCAGATATTTTCATTCCTTCTTAGGTGAATTCTTCAAGTCCATTCCCTGAACCCAAACATGGTAGACACTTTTCAAGTGAATCTACTTACTCCTATTCTTCTGCAGAGGATTCCCGACAAGATGCCACAGGAAGTACACACTCGTCAGGATGTAGACCTCCATATCGAGAAAGGCGCTCATGGCAAGATCTGATAGAGACCCCCTTAACTAGTTCTGGCCTCCATTTTCTTCAGACAGTTCCTCCTGACCCAGAATACGTGAGTGGCCGACCTGGAATGTCACCAGAGAGGCGAAGACAGGCAACATTACCAGTCCAAAGACGTCACAATCATGAACGAGATGGACCTTTCCCTTTGGTGGAGTGGCAAAGAGGATATAGTTCTCATAATAGGCCCCAGAAGCAACGTAGTCAAAGCCTTCCACGAAACAGAGATGTCAGGAGTAAAGGGCATGTAAAGTCTTCAGGCATATCAGAAGAGAAGCCTGAAGGGAAACTTCTTATAAAAAAGCAAAATAGTTTCTGTGAAGAAGGTAAGATTTTGAATGGACTTTGGTACCAGTATTCACCATTGACCTCAATAGGAGCTCTAATATTAACCTCACTGATGAATGATCAGGCTTTATAGGAGTGTATTAGTGGCAGAATTATAATTTCCAAGAAAGCTGAAAATATGGAGATTGCACTAGTTACCGCACTATAATTTTGATTCAGAACGTTCATGTATGTTCTGATTTCAGCTTTATTGTTGAACAAAATTTTGTGATTTATCAATTCTTTTACTGGGAGAGGATATTTGGCGGTTATTTCATAAGCAACTTTCAGAATTCTTGTACTTTTCAGGATCTTTCATTATCCTTCCAACCAAAGTTGCCTGGATTGTTGTTAAAAAAAATGTAATTTTTTTCAGAAAACATAAAGGAAATCAGGGAAGGTACAGATGGTCTACAAGAGTTATACAAGTCTTTGGAACAAGCCAGCTTGTCAGCCTTTGGAGAGCAGCGTCCATCTACCAAGCAAGAATTCCGGAAGTCTTTTGTAAAGAGGTGCAATGATCCAGTTATCAATGAAAAACTTCATCACATCAGAGTTCTCAAGAGCACTTTAAAAGTAAGCTGTTACCATTAATGTTTATATTGAACAAGAAATTTTAACAGTGTAGCTTCTTAAAATTTTCAGTTTATGGACTTCTATTTTAGATAGAGAATTAAGTCGTGAGAAAACTTTGGCAGTACTGAGAGAAACAGAATATAGAAGAAGACAGTTATGAACCTCACAACCACAGCCAGTATTTAGCACTGTTGTTACCAGTGTCATGGAGGATGCCAAGGACTGAATTGTTAAAAAGATCTAATCTATGACACGTTTACAATTAGCGATTGTCACTGAAAGCCATTGTGGAATCATGCCAACGGAGATAGGGAAGATTGCATTGCACTGTCTGAGCTGTAACAGTTCTGTGTATTGATAAAGGGCCTTAGTGTCCACTGCAGTTGCTCTAGCACCTTTTGTTAGCACTCAAGGACATGTAAAAGGCCAAAGTATAAAATGTCTCTTAAACTGTATTTCTGAAATGTGCTGTGGTTTTTGTTTTGTTTTGTTTTTTGTTTTGTTTTTATTTGCCAGGCAAAGGAAGGGGACCTGATAACTATCAACAATCTTCTGGATGATCCCAGCTTGACATCAAAGAAGTTCAAAGAGTGGAAGCTAAAGAACTATGATTTTTTTCTGGACATTTGTGAGTACAGCACTGCTCTGAATCCTCAAAATGGAGCCTCTGAACTTACGTCCCCAGCACCACTGCTGACACACACACATTCATTCATTGAAACACATGTCTGACAGGACCGGCATCATGAACACTTGCTGAGTGCCGTGAGAAATCCAATATGACAAACACTGTAATATTTGTAAATAACGTACTCAGCAGTATTGTAAATAACTTGGGTAAAAGAATAGTGCCACAGGATGCCTACTACATTGCATGATAAGACAGTATTATTCTGTTCTGAATTATTTTATTTGCTATTATCGACCGATATGCGTGTCAAATTCTGCATTAGAAAGGAGCAGTGCAGAAGTGTAACGGAAATAAATGCCAGTATATTTATTTAAGGACTCTACTAAAGCTATGCTTATAGTAATGAGTTCTTACAACCATTTTATATATATAGATATATATTATATGTAAACATATCTATGTATATAAAAGGTAACATGATAGTTTATATTTATTTTTTAAAATGCCCTAAAATGAACCTTTTTATATATATATATATATATATATATATACTGGCAAATCTTTGGGGGTGCACATTTTTTCCAACCTTTCCAAGCAGTGATAGCTACCATCTTTATGAAATTAGAGGAGACCAGAGTAATAAAAAAGTAAACTTAACCACTTTAGTGTGCCTTAAAATAGTGTATATCCAGCAAATAGACTCTCCTTTGGCCCACTGGGCATACTGTCTATGCCACTTTGATGTTGTGCTTATTTTTACAAGAATGTGCTTACAAGGAGTGGTCATAGGCATGCAAGTGTGGCACAGAAGAGGTTAAGACACAAGTAGAATAAAGCTGGTTGCTCACTTATGCTGTCACTTGAACTGACTTTTCTACCTTTGAAATATTTCATGGTTAAAAAATACGCGTCTGAAGATGGTAGCTACTGTAGTTTTCATAATCATGCCACTGTGAGTTTAGTGCCACAAACCTGTGCGTCACAAAAATTATTAAAATATTTTTATCTGCTGCTTCATGACTGAAAAATAAGTAAAATAATCTTGAACTGAACAATTTTTTGTATACCAGACTGTCATAGAGTGCTGGGTAAAAAAATTATATTGTTCAAAATTATTCACCATATTATTCTTCATCCATAGATCATGAACAAATTAATTGCAAGTATGTAATTCAGTATTTGAAACTCAGTCTGCATTAGTTAGTTTTGATTGGCTGCTTAAAATCACATTGTATATTTCTGTTCCCTGCCTAGAAACTTGAAGAATCAGGTTTTTGGAATGAATACTTGCATTTATGGAAACAAAATCTGCTTCCATCAATATTCTTGAAT